TGTCAAATTTCTTGACAAAGAAAGTTGCGAAGAATTCGTTTGGTGGAAATTAGATAAGGTTTTTTTTAACTTAACACATGATTTATTCATTTGCTCAGTGTATATTTCTCCACAAAATTCTCCTAGGGAAAAAAGATTAAAGATAAATCACTATGAAACCCTTCAAAATGACATAAAATAAATTTGCTAGCCTTGGTGAGATAATTTTATGTGGTGATTTCAATGCAAGATCAGGTCATTTAGAGGATTCTATTAATGATTTTCATCTATATAATAACTCCTCTTCTCCAGTTGATCATCGAAACTCTCAAGACTCCCACATAAATGTATATGGAAGATCTTTAGCTGAATTGTGTTGTGGGAACTCATTAATTACTTTAAATGGAAGGTCTAAAGGAGATTTTGTTGGAAAATTTACATGTCATACATATAATGGATCGAGTGTTGTGGATTATACTATTGTATCTCAAAATCTTTTTTCTTCATTGAGTCACTTCTCCGTTTCTTCCCTTACGGAATTCTCTCACCATTCTTTCTTATCATTTGCTTTAAAGGCAGAAACCCCTGATTTATCTGGTGATTCTAGTATTGAATTAACATCACACCCTATAGCCTTCAAATGGAACGAACAGTGTAGGGAAGTGTTGCTTGATATTTTTAACTCTGACGAAGTCAATGATCATTTAGACACTTTACTCAATCCTTCAAACGATAATGATTTAGACATCAACTCCTTAGTTAACGACTTCACAGAAATTATTACCAAAGCATCTAGAAAATGTATCCCTCTCAAGAAACAGAAAAAAAAATCTAGTAAAACGAGAGTAACACAAAAACAGAAATGGTTTGATAATAATTGCTACCGACTTAAAAGAGAACTACGGAATTTAGGAAAATTAATATCAACACAGCCGAATGACCCCTTTATAAGGCACATGTTCTTTACTAAGAAAAAAGAATATAAAAAATTAATAAGGAAACTCAAAAGAAAGTTTCATAGTGAGACTCTGAATAAAATTAAATCCATAGCAGATAGCAACCCCAAAGAATTTTGGAATCTTGTTAACAAAATCAAATCGAGTCACTCCAATTGTTCTAATACAATATCGCATGATGAATGGTTTCACTATTTCCAAGACCTTAATAAAATTAATTTTTCCTCGGACGAAACTCGTGTTGAGGCTCAAATAGTAAAAGATTTTCGTCTCTGGGCAAACACTAGCGATGAAATTCTTGACAAACCTATCTCATTACAAGAAATTTACAACATTTCTAGAAAACTCAAACATAACAAGGCTAGCTCTAGCGACTTGCTAAACAACGAAATTATCAAAACATCAATCACTAGTTTAGCACCTTACTATGTGAAACTTTTTAACACAATTTTATCTAGTGGTGTTTTTCCAAGAATATGGTCGGAAGGATTTATAACTCCTATACATAAATCAGGAAGTAAAACTGAGCCTGGAAATTACAGAGGTATATGTATTTCTAGCTGTTTAGGGAAATTTTTTACTCTAATTCTAAACACGCGTTTAAACAATTTTCTAGAGGAAAACAATATTTTGAATAATTACCAGATTGGTTTTAGACACGGATTTCGAACATCTGATCATCTGCTTGTTCTTAAAACATTAATAGACTCTTATAAATCAAGTCGGAAACCCATTTTTACATGTTTCATTGATTTCAGAAAAGCATATGATAGTGTTTGGCGAGAAGGCTTATTTTTCAAATTGATAAAATATGGATGTAGCAAAAAATTTGTTGCAATCTTGCTAAATATGTATTCTTCTGTTAAATCGGCGGTTAAATTAGAACAAGGTGTAACCCCGTTCTTTCAATCTCATATTGGAGTGAAACAAGGATGTAATCTGAGTCCAACACTGTTTAATATCTTCATTAATGATATACCTAATCTGTTTAATTCTCATTGTGATCCTGTAAAACTCGATGACACTGAGTTAAGTTGTCTACTATACGCTGACGACTTGGTAATAATGTCAGATTCGGAATCTGGGCTACAACGCTGCCTTCATAATCTTGAAACATATACGAAAAAATGGAAATTGCAAGTAAATTTTAAAAAATCAAAAATCTTGATATTTGGAACACAATCGAAAAGACGACTGTTTATTTCATCAAAATGGTACTTTGGTGACAAACAGTTAGAATGTGTAGATGAGTATACATACTTGGGACTAACTTTTCATTACACTGGTAATTTTAAGATAGCTATAGCGTCACTATACAACAAGGCATTGAGAGCCTACTATTGTCTAATGGATAAACTTTCAAACGTAGAGAATATACCGATAAAGACACTACTAAAACTATTTTCTTCAGTGGTGATTCCAGTCTTATTGTACGGTTGTGAAATCTGGGGAGTGTGTTTATTGGGAAGAATCTCCTCATATGAACTTTTTCAAAAGAAATTGTTTAGCATCGTAAATAAACTGGAGTCATTACAGCTGAAATTTTTTAAACGTATTCTTGGAGTTCATTCTAAAAGCACAAATCTGGCTATCTATGGGGAACTAGGTAGAGTTCCTTTGATAGTACAGATCTCTACTCTAGCTACAAAATATTGGTTACGTATTAAAACCCCTAGTTATATAAATACTCTGGTGGGTAAAGCAGCACGCTTTAATATTCGATCCAATTCTCAGGCCATTACTTTTATAAACTATATATTAAAAGTAAGTGATTTGAGATCGCTAGACCACATTTATTTAGAACTTGAAAGTTTGAAAAATTTAGGTAAATATATAAAAAATAGACTATAGTTGATTACTTTATTAATTACTGGAAAGGTCAATTTCAAGAAAGTCGTTCTAATGGTAAATTAAGAACTCTCGTACAAGTTAAGAATAATTTCAGATTCGAGGAATACCTTCACGTAATTTGTAATGTCAAACATCGTCAGGCAATAACGAAATTAAGAATATCCGCACATAAATTACCAGTTGAATCTGGCCGATATAACAAAACCCCCTACAATGAGCGAAAGTGCACGTTATGTCAATCAGACGAAATCGGCGATGAATTTCACTATTTAATGTCATGCCCCAATAACGAATTTGTAAAACTCCGAAATACTTTTGTAACAGATATATGCAAAATCAACTCATCCTTCCGTTCAATTGATACAAAAAACTTATTTCTATATATACTAAATGTACATGATAAGTCTATCATGAAAATAATTTCAATATACCTTCATGATACTCTCGCAATGTACGATAGTCTTTTGTAGAATTTCTAGCTTTAATATTATAATACCCAATAGTTTATTAGATTTTATATTATATTATATATTAAAGTTAATCAATATTAGTACGCATGTCGCACTCCTAACCATGAACTATATGGTACGTACTTTATTGTTTAGTTTACAGTACATTAGGTACTTATATGTAAATGTTTTCATATATGCCTGTTTGGTATTTGTTGTTATTGAAATATATTATTATTATATATAGCTGCTTCTAATGATGGGCTCTACTTCATTATATTCTTTCACTCACAACCGTTCGTTAAGTTCACATTGAGAATCTATCACATGTAGTTGCGTGTTTTTGTACACAAAATAGGCCAGAATTTGATTAGTATTTATCTCATCTCTAGAAAACCTCGGCAAGAAACGCGTGCATGTTTTGCGTGCATGTTTTGCGCGACAGGCTGATAGCGCGTCTACCGACGTGACGAAACTCACACCAGCACTCGCACGCTATCTTGTTTGCATCTGTAGTGTATCTAACCCTATAAAGCAGTGCAGTCAGTTTTTATGCATTTACTATGCATGCTGGAAGTGGTCTGCAATTCTCCCATCCCAGCATGCCAAATATCATCTGACTATCCAACGATATGCTACTGCTCGAAGATATCTAAATAATCAAACAGTGAGTCCTTAATTTCATGTTTGCAAATACTAAAGAAGTTACTTATGTATGGTCGGAATATATGTAAGATTTGCCTACCAAAACCCAAGGCTAAGTGAAGTCACTGTTATTACCTATTAGTATACTATAATATAGCTATACATATAAAAAGATAAATTATAGACATACTGTGTAACAAAGAATACAAGATATCGTTTAGAATACAAATATATACAAGAAATAATGATATTTAATTATCTTGGGTTCTGCTTGTTGGTTTATGATACTTTTTCCCTGACTTTATATCAGAGAAAAGCCCCTGTGTCTCTAGTAGGCTACTAGTAGTTCGACAGGTGACGATTATTATCATATTACAACATATAGGCTAACATAACACTTGCAGAACTAGTATGGTTCGATGCTGAATTAATATAAACGAGTATGTTTATGACATTCAGTATATAGTTCATAATTTCCAGTCTTAATATAAATCCGTCTGACCGTGTAGGTCAGTTGGTAGAGCGTCGATCTAGTAATTCGAAGGTCGCGGGTTCAATACCCAGCCGCGGCAGACAATATATTTCTGCTTGGGCAGTTGCGCTGGGTATGGAAATTATGAAATACACACTCGACAACATTTTCAACTTTTCAACTTAGTGCATAATCCCAGTGCTGTGTGATGCATTCTGCGTCCTTGTCCTCGAACGTAAATTTGTCAATACACTCCAAAATTTCCTTACAGCATCTATATTCTCTAGCGTCCTGCAATAATTCGTCGCTACAATGACCACATGAGCACCTTAAAATAAACCCGCATATCAGACGAAACATGGTAATAAATAGTCGAGGAACGGGTTAATATAATATTACTTTTATAACTTTACTTACCATGAATTAACAGCTACATTTTTCTTAAATCTCGCCTCAAGAGTATCATGAAGAATACCGTCTTCGTCCATTTGGTCTTCCTCGTAGTCACTATATGCGACTAGCTCAAATTGATATGGCTGAACAACAGACGATTGCTCAACGATGTCCTCATTATCTGTTGACCCTTCTGTCTCTGTCTGTGATTCAAAGCTTTCGTTATCGGACATTTTTATAACGAAATATAAAGGCAACTGTCTGATGTTCGTGTTATTTTGTTGTTTTCGTATAGTGAAACACTTCGGCGTGTCATACTGCATACGTCACAAGGCCCGGAACTCTAGGTACCAGTCTTTCGCCAGTAGATAGTCGAAAAAGCGAACTTTAATCGTAAAATTAACAAACTTCTAGTTCGAATTTTTCAACAAGGTTTGTATTTTTATGATCGGAAAAGACCAAATTTTCAGAAAATGCAAAAAACCCGATATCGAAATTTTCATTTCATATACACTTTAAGCTGGCTTTGTAGGTGTTTAATATCTGAAACCGCTTTGTCTTGTAGGATTTACAAAAAACACTATTACAGTATTAGTGTTACGGACAGCAGTTAATATAGGAGTTCGCCACCCTTTGCAATATTAAATATTCTTGCAATTTTATTAGAGTAGCGTCGAAAATGTCGCGGTGAAATATTGCAACAATAAATTGAGTAAAAGGTTTCTCGAATGTTAAAAGATGGTTTAAAATATACATCCGCGAGCTTGCCGCTTCCGTCGTTGAATAGCGTCAGCTTAGCGTCAACTAATTCGCTTAAGTTACTACATTATTCTGGCCGAATAACTGAAAGTCGTTATGTTACGCATACAATTGTATCAAAACAAGCATAAAACAGTTTCAATGTAGTCCACAGTAATAAATATTGATCTTAATTAATAATATACCTGGCTTGCCAGTTTCGAAAGCGGATTTTGCTGCGCTCCGAATGTAATAGTCTAGAACGATTGAAAGCGGCAGTAGATCGACCCCTAAATCAATTGAATTCTTGCAAAGTTTGAATAACTAAAGTCTGTTTTCCACTAGCGAAATTTGTCGTGCGAATCTTTTATCTTATAAGCTCTAGACTGGAATTATAATTAGACTTTTAATAAATTATTTTCAATTTTAGCAATAAAAATTCGATTCATGCGATGAAATTCGAAAAACAGGCTTAAGTTAAGTATACGACACGGCACAAAATTTGCTAAATCATGTCACATTATCCGCCAAAGATTCGACTTAATTTTTCGCATAATACATTAGCAACAACGAAATAACATAAAATTTCCAACCTAGTGTACTACCTATGTAGCCGCATCATGGACGGCATTTCTAGAAAGTCCAGTAGTTTGCTTACATACAAACGAAAATTATAAAATCCATGGCGTTTTAATTAAGCCGAGTCAGATGGAGGAATAAAAATAGCTACGCACATGAATCTACGAATAGCAATAAATCGTTGCCCACCCTGTCCAGTGTCCAGTGGTCAATCGACAACTTTAAAAAGTGAATGGCCACCAAGCACCAGCTAGACTAGAACATAATCAGAAAACAATATATGCTGGCATAAACATGTCATTGAAATACCGGTAATTTGCTCTAAAATGGTTATTCCAGATTAAAATATTCACAATTCTATTTCTAATTGTAAGACCATACTCAGTTGCACACTAAACAAATCCATCGCAGTAAAACGCCACAGTAACTGTGTCTTATACGAATTCGTATACACGCCATAATAATAGAGACTCCTGCCCACTAACCTATACTACTTTTATTGTGTTTATATTAAGTGGAATATTCGACATCAGCGCACACATCATATTAAAGGATCGTATTACATTACTAAATTCTAACAACAACATCTTGGAGAGTAGAGAGTTACGGCCCATAACATTTAAAACATTTAATGGGTCAATTTTACTCGAAACCTTACATTTAAAACATTTAATGGGTCAATTTTACTCGAAACCTTAGTGGCTTACTTTTTCGCTGGTTGTTATACTTTATTAAAATAATTCTGTACCTCATATTTTGCCAAATTTCGCTAATTCAAATGCTTATTAGGTGTCAAGATGACTCCAAATAGGACACAAGGTAGACGCCTTGAAAACCAATACGTAGCCTACTATTTCGTAAATTGCTGAAAAGTGTACAGCAACCACGCTACTACAAAACAGACACGTAGTTCCAAGATTAATTTACCTTCGCTCCATTTTCATCCACAAGTCATCAAATTTAAATGTGTGAATAAATATAAATCATAAATTTGAACTCCTCTTTACCGCCATATTGGATTGTCTCGCGACCAAGCCGTGATTTGTAACTGAAAAGTGAACAGTGAACAGCTAACACGTCGATAGCATATAATCTACTTCGTAGATTCAATAACTGTGCATGTTGCCCGACGGCAAATTAAATACATTGTTGACACTATGATCTAAGACCTCGAGAGCCTAAATACTCCAACTGAGTTTGACTAATGGTCGCGGGTCGCGTGTCGCGGAAATCGGCATACTGTATATCAACACCTAACTGGCACCATACACCTAATTAAAATAATTGTCGGATTATGATATTAAGTGATCATGTTATAGGAAATAGTTTATATTCCCTTGTAACTCAGGAGTAGATTTTTCTCTCAGAATACAATTTCTCTTACTGGTGCTTGAATACAACTTTAATTTTTCATATGGAGTTTAAAACCAGGAAAATAGATTTTGATACCAAATGAACAGCGACTAAATGAACAAAATCAAAGCTTTTGCAATAAACAGTTATTAGGCTATTAATAAAACTTAGACTAAGGCAGCAAAACTGAAAAGTTTATTCGTGCATACTGATATTATATAAAGTATAATGTAAACTGCACGAAACCTTTGCTTCGAATCCAATAATAATATGTTATTTTACATCAAAAGCTATATTAATACTTGAAAGTACTTATAGTCTTATTGCATGGATGTGATAATTTCGTATTTCATAAGGTATTTAATTATCCCACACGTCTTTACATGTAACAATGATCTTAGTCGTATATTTTCTATTGTACCCCACATGCATATTATTATACTTTATACAATTGGTATTTCAATGATTCGCATGCATGCAGGCACCTTCTATAAAAACATAATTTGAGATGCTGATCGGTTCTCCTAAATATATAATATTATGTATCTACCTAATTTAGAAAAATAAAATATTTTCGAAAAAGTTAAAGCATTTTTAAAGCCTTAAATAAATATATTACTGCAATCATTACAAATTTTAAATGATTATAGTCGAACCTATATACAGAATCATTGTATATAGCTATATATGAACAATTGTATGAACATTTTGATGATGTTCCGTCAACGTGTTTGAGAGGTATCGTATAGGCTATGCATTTTAAAATGTATGCCGATTTGAGCTCTACATATTGGCAAAGTTTAAGTCCGGAGACGGAGCAACAAGGTCTTCAGTTCCTGGTTTGCAAAACTGTCTAATTTCCTTAAACAGGTAGCTCTGCCTCTCTGCATCTAAACCATTTGGCGCGACCTTTGCTGGAAGATCAGATGGCGGCAAAATGGTCGCCTTTTTCAATAAGTTCATTTTATATTCCTCTGAAGTTACGAAGGCTTTGTAATAAACAATTCCCGGTTCGTCTAAGGCAAAACGAAAATGATGAAATTTTGTGATGTTGGGAAGCTTTCCGTTTCCGTTTCGATAAACCATTATAATGTGATACTCTATAGTATATCATACATGCATGCCACTCCATTTTACCCCGTGATTTTAGGGATGGACCATTTGATTTTTGATGGGGGGGTGGGTAGAATCCCAAAAAAAATATCGGGCAAGCAATTCGAACTTAAAAAAAATATCGTGCAAGACTAAACGGATGAAAAAAAATATCGAGCACGACTTTCGAGTGGTAATCCTTATTTGCCATTCGGTGCATTTCCGCGTGTAGCCAAGGGCCGTATGTAGCAACCAGGGGGCTGCAGGGTCCAGGAAATGGCATTTCAGAGACTCTAAATTTAAAAATTTCCTCGGGCCTTCGGCCCTCGCTTCCAGCCCCCCAATCAAAAACAGCTTCCTACGGCCCTGTAGCATAAATAATGGGAGGACCAGTATAATTCCAAAAATGGTTCTTCATTTCTCTACTCCGACTCCTATGATGAACATGTACGTAAAAAAACTAGGAAAACTACGATTAAATCACGGCCGTAGAAACCAAAATAGGTGAAATTTTTATGGGACACGATCAAAGGCGAGGATATAAGAGCGAGAGATTGAAATTGAGTAGGAATAGATTTTCGATCTAACAGTTTTCTTCAGCCTGCAGGGTTTTTTAAGAGGAGGGAGGGGGGGTGTTGATATAATTTGAAGAGGAGAAGGAAGGAGAGTTCATAGGAGTTCGGAAAATAATGTGAGACCAAGAGGAAAACAAATTATTACAAAAAAGCTGAAAATAACCAATTACACAGTGAAAGGATGTAACCATTATACATGTTATTAGTCAAGTTATCCTACCAAAGGTCTTGTTGTTTGCGGGACATTCCAACACTACGCACTTTATTGTTCATCGTTCGTATTGGTGAAGTGAAGCAAATTTGCAGGTTAATTTACTCAATGGTATAGTGAGTTTGAATGATTGTGATGGTAAGGGTGATCATGTGACTGTAGGTGATTGCATCCAAATATGGTGTTAGTGGTGTAGGAGCTTATAA